CTTTTATGCACCTCTAAAGCCAATGATAATGAAATTGAAGAATTCTAACAACTTCTTCAGTCTGAAATTGGTCAAGCATGCAATCAATTTGTACTGACAACTACTGATGATCGAAAGGCAAAGGTTGGAAACAAAGAGAAAAGATGAGAAGTTGGAAAATATAGCTTTGGTGACAGAAATGATGCTAGAGATCACATGATAGAATTTTGCAATACCAAGAGTTTATTCATTGCAAGTACCTTTTATAAAAAACATAAAAGATGACGATACACATGAACCTCACCAGATGGAATACACAGAAATTATACTGACTACATCTGTGGGAAGAGATGGTGAAAAATCTCCAAATAATGAGTTAAAATGAGGCCAGGGCAGTCTGTAGAACAGACCATCCATTGTTTACATGCAAATTTAGAATGAAACTCAAGAAAATTAAGATAAATCTATGAGAGCCAAACTGTGATCCTGAACATATCTCACTAGAATTTAGATATCACCTCAAGAACAGATTTGATGCATTAGATATTAATGAAAAAACCAGACGAGTGTGGGTTGACATCAAGAACATCATACAGGTAGAAAGCAAAAGATCATTAAGAAGAAAAAAAGGAGAAGACCAAAAGGAATGTCAAAAGAGACTCAGAAACTTTCTTTCCAGCATAGAGATTCTAATGCAAATGGAAGCCATGAGGAGGTAAAAGAGCTGAATAGAAAATTTCCAAGGGCAGCTTGAAGAGACAAAATCAATTTTTATAATGAAACATATAAAGACCTGGAGTTAGAATACTAAAAGGAAAGAACATGCTCAGAATTTCTCATGCTTAAAGAACTGAAGAAAAAACTCAAGCTTAGAATTGCCATATTTAAGGATTCTATGGGAAAAATATTGAATGACACAGAAAGCATCATAAGAAGATGAAAGGAATACACAGATTCTCTGTACCAAAGAGAAATTGTCAGTGCTCAACAATTTCAAGAGGTAGCATAGATGAACAGCCAACGGTACTGAAGGAAGTAGTCCAAGCTGCACTGAAGGTACTGGCAAAGAACAAGGCTCTGGGATTTGATGGAATAAAAACGGAAATCTTCCAACAAATTGAGACAGCACTAGAGATACTTACTCATCATCTTACATTGGGTTCTCTAGAAAAGCAGAATTGGTGTATATGTATATGTATAAAGGGAATTTTATATCATAGAAATTTATATCAAGGAAACAGCTCACAGTTGTAGAGATGGGAAAGTCCAAAGTCTGAGTCAGATGAACTATGATCAGTAGACAGGTTCAACAGGAAGGCAGGCAGAAAATAAATCAGGTCACTGGCTCAAATCCACAGAAGTGGAGGTTGGAGGATGAGCCTCATACAAGATCTACACCCATCAGAAGGCAAGCAAGCTTTGCCTGAGTGTCCATTTTATTTGAAAGCAGGACACATCCCCCAGGAAACATCCTTTCAATTGATTGGCTGCTTATAGCCAATCATCATAGTGTTAACTGCACTATTTGTAGCCAATCGTCATAGATGTATTAGATCTCACCATGCTGATAACCACATCTCAACATCCAAACTAATGGGAATTGTGGCCCTGATAAGTTGACACAAAAAACGTAACTAACTCAATGCTTTCATCTATGCCAAGAAATTTGGAAAACAGTTATCTGGCAAACTGATTGGGAACGACCCGTATTTGTGCCCATTCCAAAGAGTAGTGACCCAATGGAGTGTGGGAAACATTGACAATTATTACTATCACATAAAAGAAAACACTTTCTAAAGATAATTTTTAAATGACTGCAAAAGTACACTTGCAGGGAACTACCAGAGGTTTAAGTCAGGTTCAGGTGAGGACATGGATCAAGGGATATCATTGCTGACATCGGATGGATCTTGGCAGAAGCAGAGACTATCAGAAAGATATTTATTTACTTGTGCTTTATTAACTATGCAAAGGCTTTCAACTGCATATCATGACAAGCTATGGATAGCATTGTGAAGAATGTGTATTCCAGAACACTTAATTGTGCTTATGAGGAACCTGTACTTAGACCTAGAGGGAGTTGTTCAAACAGAATAAGGGGACCCTTAATGGTTTTAAATCAGGAAAGATATGCATCAGGGTTGTTTCTTACCCCATATTTATTCAGTCTGTATGCTAAGCAAATAATTGTGGAGGAGAACTAATTAACAAACTATGATGTGCAGATGATACAATCTTGCTTGTTGAAAGACAAGAAAACTTAAAATGCTTTGATGAAGTTCAAAGTTGGCTTCAGTATGGGTTGCATATCAAGATAAAGAAAACAAAAATGCTCACTACTGAGCCAATAAATAACATCATGATAAATGGAGAAAAGTTTGAATTTGTCAGAGACTTCATTTTGCTTGGATCCACCCTCAACATCATGGAAACAGCAATCAAGCAATACTTTGATATATTGCATTAAGCAAATCTGCTGCACACAACCTCTTTAAAGTGCTCAAGAACAAAGATGTCAGTTTGAGGACTAAGGTGTGCCTGACCCAAGCCATGGTATTTTCAATAGCCTCATATGCATGTGAAAGTTGGATAATGAACAAGGAAGACCACAGAAAGACTGATGCATTTTAATTATGGTTTTGAAGAAGAATATTAAAAGTACCATTGGTTGCTAGAAGAGCAAACAAACCTGTGTTAGAAGAAGTGCAGCCAGAATGCTTCTTAGAAGCCAGAATAGTGAGACTTCATCTCTCATACTTAGGTGTCTGTAGAGTTGCTGTGACTTATTTTCTCTGACTCATAGTGATAGATACAACTATAGCAAGGTAGGAAAACCTGAACTCATATTGCCTTCACTGAATTTCAGACACTGCCTTCAGAATTATGCATGTCTTAAAATAACTCCATATGCCTGATCATATTAGTTATATGACTTCATCTGAGACTATTTATAGTTCTTGTTTTATAATGAGCCTGAAAAAAATGATAGGTTATTAGAGTTTGAAGTTTTCTTTTTCTTTTTCTACCATTCATATAATCCAGTAACTGAAAGTGAAATAAGATGAAAAAGTATATCTTAAAAGAAACCATCATTTTAACTGTAATTGTCTAGTGATAGTAAGGATTAATGGAACCTTTGAACTCTGTTCAAATCCCACTTCCCATATATTATTAATCTAGTCACCTAACATCCTTGCACCTTAGTTTTCTTATCTTTAATATGGAGGAAATGCTACCTTCCTCACACTCGTGCTGAGAATTTTAAATTAAATAATAAGGTTGAAATTTTTAAAAACAATGTCATGTTTTATGATTATAAATCTAATACCAATTTGTAAAGTTCTCTATAGATTGAACATCTGATATGCAAATGCAATACAAATACTAAGTGTTGTTGTTGTTAAGTGGTTGTGGAGTCGGTTCCAACTCATTGAGATCCTGTGTAGGGTTTCCAAGGGGCAGCTGGTGGGTTTGAACTGGAAGGAAACACTGCTAGTCCTGGGCTTATTATACAGCACCACACTAGGAGTTCATACAAGATATAGTTATATTGATATTATTAAGCACTATTTTAAAAAATAAATAAAAATCCAAGAGAAACTTAATTTTCTTCTAAGTCAAAATAATGACTGAAAAGACATCACCAGATCTACAAATAGGTTGTCTCTTTGTTGGTTGTTGTTACTGTTTGGTGCCAACCAATCGATTACTACCTTTATCAACCCTATATGACAAGTAGGATTTTCTAGGCTACTGGTAGCGTAGTGGTTACGAATCGGGCTGCGAACCTTAAGGTCAGCAGTTCGAAACTACCAGCCGCTCCGCGGGAGAAAGATGAGGCTTTCTACTCCCGTAAAGATTTACACCCTTGGAAACCTTGTACAGGGTCGCTATGGGTCGGAACCGACTCGACGGCACTTAACAACAACAACAACAACAATCTATGATAGGAGCCCTGGTGTGGCATTGTGCTTTAATGCGCTGGGTTGCAAAGTCTGTTTGAGCTGCAAGGTTGGCGGTTCAAGTTTACCAGCTGCTCCTCAGAAATCCTATAGAGGGTCGCTATGGGTCGGAACCAACTCGACAGCACTTAACAACAATAACAAGCTGTGATAAACACTGGCCTGAAAACTACACGGTCCATGGTTTGAGCCTATCAGCTGTTCTGTGGGATAAAGGTGAGGCTTTCTGCTCCCATAAAAATTTACAGCCTCGGAAACTCTGTACAGGGTCCCAAGCATCTTCAATTTTTGTCACTCTTCTTTGTTCCACACATGGAGAGACCAATAGTAGCACCTTAGTTGACCATTCATGAGTTGTTTTTTTTCAGATCCCAAACACTGCTCTTAAAAGTAGGATGCAGAAAGCCTCATCTTTTTTCTGCAGAGCGGCTGGTAGTTTCGAACTGCTGACCTTAAGGTTGGCAGCCCGATTCGTAACCACTATGCTACCATAGCCACACTATTGTTGTTGTTAAGTGGAGTCGAATCCAACCCATAGCGACCCTATACAGGGTTTCAGAGGAGGAGCGACTGGCGAGCTTGAACCGCCTACCTTGCAGTTCAAATGGCTTTGAGGCTGGCGCATTAACCCACAGCGCCACACTAGGGCCTGGCAAATTGCTACATGTTTATTAGTGCTTCAGTGCAGGAAGATAGCAGGACATCTTTTTCCTTGTTGTTGTTGTTGTGAAGTGCCGTCGGTTATGAGTCGGTTCCGACCCATAACGACCCTGTATAGGGTTTCTGAGGAGCAGCTGGTAAGCTTGAACTGCCGACCTTGCAGTTCAAAAGGCTTTGCAGTCTGGCGCATTAACCCAAAGCGCCACACCAGGACTCCTTATTTCAATTTATTTCCATTTCTTTGGCACCCTTATTTATGGTTCTTGGGGACTTGTGCAACCTATACCCTCTTGCACATTGGTCACTGGAAAGGGAGTCTACTTTTAGTAAAAAACGGTAGCTCTTTAGTTAACCGGAAACAACCTCCCAATGTTTAATCTGATCCTGAACCTCACCCACCTCTTCCTGCAGCAGCTGGTCTTGTGTCTGTTGGTGCTGCCTCTCGGTCTCCCTCTGACACTGCAGTTGCTCCTCCTCCAGCTTGCTGAGGAACTTTTCTGACGCGTCCAGTTTCGATTTCAGCTCTGTGACCTGAGGAAGTCATTCACAAACAGTTACAGACACCTCTTCCAAAGTCCACACATTCCTGGATTTATTCCCAGCCTATGAATTTGGAGACGTCCTGGGCGTCCAGACAGGCTCTCCTTCCCATATAGACTAGAATATTTGCATTTTAAAAAATGGAGCTTCCTGGATCAGAAAAAGTAAAACATCTTCCCTACTTTAGTCAAACCAAGCCATTTCTAAGAGAACAAAGACTTAGTCTTTACAAAACAGAGCCTTAAAGTTTCTCATTGTATTGCTTTCAAGACGTGCCTTGCATAAGCTGGAAAGGGCAGTGCAGGAATAGGTAGAATATACCTACTCCAGAGAAAAACAAACAAGGCCTTTGCCTTGCAATACTTGACCTATTACTGGATGACAAGTTAGATGTCAGAGTGACAACAGTCCAATGAGACGTGTTGGAGACATGCTTCTTTAGCATTAAACCTGTTAACATCTTCAAGTGAGCTCCTACCTGCAATCTAGTCAGGAAAGCAGCTTAAGTATTAGCTCTGAAAACAATTCCTTTAAAATCTTGAGACACAAACTGCCCCGTGGTATGCAGCCTGACCATCCTCTTAGTATGGGGACTCTTATACTGCATTTTCTAGATTTAATACTTAGGAGTATCAAAATGAGGAAGTAAAAACAAAGAAAAGAGCTATAGTGCTCATTTGTGGTCAAGTTTCTGATTTCAGAATGATTGAAAGGAATTTATTTTGTCTATTTGATGATAGAATGATTTAAAATCATAAATGGACTTTACTAAGGGATTTTTGCCGCCCCCTCCCCCCCAATAAAAGATCTTTTCTATACCAAACAAAAGTTTCTTGCCAGTTTTAGAGAGGAGGGGAGGCCCCACATTCCCTCACACTTTCACTATTAGCACTTTTTGTTTTTTTCGGTGGACGTAATTTATGCTATCGAGTTACAGAATTGGAGAGCTAGCATAGGAAAGCAGTATAAAATGTAAACTACCTTCATCTCTTATATAATTCTGCATGTTTGTTGCTGCTGAAAACAAAGGGAAATATTTGTGGGGTACAAGAACTGTGCTGGAGAACTTTGGAGCCATTGCTTCAGGGTTTTTGTTTTCTTTTGTTTTGTTTTTTATTAGCACCTTTCTTTAGCCATGCTCAGAATATAACACTGACACTGTTGATTAATCAATCATCAGTACCAAGAAGCACATAGTGCACTCAGCAACCTCTTAACTCAGTTCTCAACAATTGGATATCCATAGATTTACTCCAGTAGCCAAAATTATTGAGTCTTCACAGCCTTGGCCCCACCAACATTATTGATTAAAATCAAGTTTGAAACAGAGAGAGGTATTTACCTTTCTTTCATATAACTCTTTCATACTTCTAAATTGGTGATCCCATTGTTGGTTAACTTCTAGGAGCTGAAATCATTAAAATTTAATGAGTCAATAAAAGATTTATTTCCATTTGGAAAGTTGGTTAAAATAAAATGCCTTTCTGGAAATCAATATCTGGTTTGGCTGAGATAATTTAATTGAACATACTCTTACTTTTTAATAACTGGGTTACATGTGGAAAAAACAAACATTCATGTCTTGGATATACTTTGGCTAGTCAGTTAAACAGTTTGCCAATTTATCAGTTACTTTTAAGTTTTCTTAGTTATTTGAATTTACACCTTCTTTGATTAATCCACTCAGAATCTGATGAAAACTTGGAAGTATTGATGGTTTTCTGTAATATTTATTACTTATAGGCAAGGGTAGGTTTCTTACATAATGTTCTATCTGTTTACATGCTACTGTAATGAAATATTATTTCCTGTTTTTCTTAATGCAGAATTGATACTAACAAATTCCAGCCTCCATTAACTGATAGTCATTTGCTTTATTTGTGTTTTTGCAAAAATGTGTTTTTTGAAATAACATGTAATTTGTATTATATTCAACTAATGCATAATATTACCTTTTGGGAAGTATACATTTTCACAGAATAATAGTTTTGCCACAAAGACCAGATTTAGAAACATTTCAGGCTGCAAACAATTTAATACTGTTAAAACTATGTACGAAATATACAGTGCCAAAAACACTGTGGCCAGTGTCTTAATTTTCTTACAGCAAAAAATTTCAACTTCTTAGATTAAGAGAAATGTAAATAATTGTTTATTTAGGAAAAATGCCCAGAAAATAGTCAACATGGTAAAAATAAACTAGTAGGACTTACTCCTAATTAAGAAAGAAATACCTAACTCAGAGTGGTTTGTTGTTGGTATTGTGTGCCACCAAGTCGGTTCCAACTCATAGTGACCACACCAGGATTGTTAATTACTAGGTAATGCTAATACTGGGAATAGACATGGATATTTAGTGTAAGACTCTATCATATTATAATTTAAATATATTTTACCATTTTAGATTTTAGGGATTAAAATTTTGATAGCAATATTGACTCCTGGTGTGTCGCTGTAGGATTAGCACTGGACTGTGAACCAAAAGATTGGCAGTTTAAACCCACCAGCTTCTCCTTGGAAACCCTTTACAGTGTTGTTATGAGTTGAAACAGACTCGACAGTACTTAACAACAACAAGTGTAACATTACTCTGCTGTAAATCAGTAATTTTCCTGGTCACAACACTCTATGAAAAATCAAAGAGGAGTAAAAGGCACCATGGGAGAGAACATGAAGGATGTTAATATTTAGAATGGTTTAGAAAAGGAATGACAAAATTGGCAACATGTATGTAAGGCATATATGAGGGTGAATCAAAAATTATCCACACTCTGGTTATGTTAAAATGACCATCCATGTCCACGGCTGATGACATTGAGTATGCATATGACAGATAATGGCAAAGCATTTGCAAATCAGCCATGGTTCTGCCTATGAAATATCCACATCAGACTTGGCTTTCCAAAAGTTTGTGCGACATGGGTGCTGAAACAACTCACAGAAGAGTATAAAAAGAGGCATCTGGACATCTGCATGCAAGATTTTGACAGATACTTGAAGGGAGGTAAAAATTTCTGTAAAAACAATCGTTACTGGTGAGGAGACATAAATTCATCACTACAAATCTGAGAGTAAACAACAGAGTATGGAATTGAAGCATCCTTAATTGCCTACCAAGAAAAAGTTCAAAAGGCAACAAACAGCTCGAAAATTGATGCTTACAGTTTTCTGGAATTCTCAAGGACCAGCATTGAAACAGTATCAGGAAAAAGGTTCAACAATCAACAGTGCTCATTACAGTGACCTGCTCACTGAAGAACTGAAGCCTAAACTTCACATGAAACACAAAGGACTGCTATCCAAGGGCATTATGATGTTGCATGATAATGCACATCCACACACTTCTGCCCACACTGGTGACATTCTGGAAAACCTCCATTTTGAGGCGTTAAAACTTCCTCCTATAGTACTGATTTTGCTCCATCAGACTTTCACTTATTTGGTCTCCTGAAAGCAGCCCTTTGAGGACAAAGATTCACCACTGATGCATTCCTCATTCACAACTCAGCCTAAAACAATTCTTAATAACGAAATACAAAAGCTTGTCAACAGATGGACAAAGTGTATTGAAAAGCAAGAATATTATATCAAAAAATGATGCATTTGCCTTTTCTAAAAGTCAGTTAAAATAAATTCTATAACTAGAGTGTAGATAATTTTTGACTCACCCTTGTACTTTGACATATGCTTAAATTGTTATACTCTTCACCTATTTCCCTACCAAAAATGAGTAAAGAAGTTTTAACATTCATTAGACTCAGAAAAGGAATACTGGTGATGCTTTAGGGTAAGTACTACATTGCCAATTGCAAGGTTGGCAATTCAAACCTCTTAGGTGTTCATCTGGAGGAAAAAGAGGCTTTCTGCTCTCCTAAAGATTTACAGCTTCAGAAACTCCATACATGGTCACTATGAGTTGGAATCAACTCGATGGCAGTGAGCTTGGTTTTGAGTTTAAGACTCTGGAAAGCACAACTCATTCAGAATAATATCCATCATATGCCTATTCATTCTATAAAAACAAACATTTTTTATGATGTTGGTGGTTGTGTGACCTGGAGTTAGTTCTGATTCATAGTGACCCTGTATAGAACTTCCAAGGTTGTAAATCTTTACAAGAGCAGTAAGCCTCATTTTTCTCCCTTGTAGTGGCTAATAGTTTCAAACTGCTGACTTTGCATTTAGCAGTCTGACACGTAACCCATTATGCTATCAATGCTCCTCATTTTTTGTTATGATAGTGGTTCTTACTGCCTATGTATTTGGGCTCACAACTAATGCTGCAAGTAAACTGTACTGAAAAACCTTTGACAGTTTGAGTTTCAAGATGTGTCAAGTTTTCAGGTATAAAGGGTGCTGGTGATAAATTCACATGGTCCATGTGGAGGAAATAGCTAAGTGTTGAGGAAATCAGGATTATAATTACTGGGAGTCATCACTTTGTAATTTCTCATTCATAGTTTCACAAACACTGAGATAGATGTGAATAACAGTAAACCATTTGCTCTTAAGAATATACAATCCAGTTTATATTGAATGTAAATACTGTGTGCCAATAACAAAAATAAAAGATACTAACTAGGAAATACATTCTTTATTTTATTTTCAGCATTAAGTCATGGCACATGGGGCTTCAATGAAATTACCTCTTTTCTCTGCTTTTCCAAGCACCTTATCTTTTGTTCAAGAGAATTTGTCAAATTCTTTCTTCTGGATGATTGAGCACACTTAAAAAGAAAAAACAAAAAGAATCTTGAAAATAGTCCCCAAAAGAAACAGAAGAAATATGTTCTTCACAAACCTCATCCGTATGAACAACTAACATGATTTTTAAAAAAATATTGGATTCCACACCATGAGTCTTTAATTTTATTGTTGTTGTTGTTAAGTTCCTTCAAGTGGGTTTGACTCATAGCGACCCTGTATAGGGTTTCCAATGAGCAGCTGGTGGGTTTGAACCACCAACCTTGTGGTTCAAACTGACCTAATCGTTGAATGCATATCTTATACTACATATTGCTATTTCATAGTGACCAGTTAATAAATCAGCTTTATGTTGTATTTTAGATTCCTGTACATAACTTAATTATCAAAATAATTTGTTAACAAATCATAAGTCTGTAATAGGAAAAAGGAGCCAGAGGGCTAAGTGGGCTAAGTGTTGGGTTGCTAATTAATCCAGCGGTTTGACTCAGAGGGCTAAGTGTTGGGTTGCTAATTAATCTAGTGGTTTCAACCCAGTTGCTGAGTTTTTGTGTTTTTTAGTAGGCATGTTCCTGCCTTCCCCCACCCCTAACCAAAAAATCCTCTGTAGTCCAGTTGATGCCAACTCATAGCGACCCTTACAGAACATTTTTATGGAAATATACATTTTTCGCCCACATATTAGAATTTCATGAATTTGTATTTAGAATCTTTAAAAAAAATGACATTTCACAGTTTAATAGCTTATAGCAGTCAGGTATGTTTCAGGCATTTACATAGAAAACATTTCAATAATGTCATCTTTGTAGATGTGTGCATGTTGTCAATAAGATTCTGAATAGTACAGAGGAGTGATAGAACCATCAAGACAAAAGACCACATAACAGCTCATAGGGAACAAATTGATTGTAAAACTACAATTAATTGTTGTGCCATTGAGTGGTTCTCACTTATAAGGGACCTTGTATAGGGTTTCTAAGGAGCAGCTGGTGGGTTTGAACTACCAACCTCGTGGTTAGCAGTCCAGTGTCACAATTAGCTTCCTTAAAAACAAACAAACAAACATAATACAAGTATTGGTAAAGAGGTGGATGTAGATTTATTGGGTATTGTGTAATTTTAACCAGTGCTTTCAAGTAAGTGTCTAGATCCCACATTGAGATCAATAATGAGTCATTGGTGTTGTGAAGTGCTGTGGAGTCATTACAACTCATAACTATATAGGGTTTCTGTGGAGTGATTGGTGGGTTTGACCCACCAACCTTGTGTTTAGAAGCAGTCCAGTGCTTATCTTACAGCACCACACCAGAACACCAGTGAATTATTAACATAGTAAAATAGTTATGCTACATTTCTACCCCTTCCCCTCCACCCTCAGGCATCAATGTGTTCATTTAAAGAAAACACTAAAGCTTTTTGAACTCTGCTTCTCATCTGCCTAAATTGACCACCAATGAAGTTCACTTAAGTAAAAGACTGTTTTTTCCATTGTACCTCTCATTACCATCTCATCTGAATTTCATATAATTAATATAATGCATGGGGTGATGTCCTGCTGTGGCGCTGTGGGCTAATGCATCAGGCAGCAAAATTGTTTGAACTGCAAGGTCGGTGGTTCAAGTTCATTAGCTGCCCCTTGGAAACCCTGTACAGGGTCCCTCTGGGTCAGAATTGACTTGACAGCACTTAACAACAACAACATGGTGATGGGGATAGTCCCTAAATCTGCTATGCAGTTTCATATTCATTAGTTACTGTGGATCATGGTATTGTTTAAAAATATTCACGGACAATTAAGAAATATTTTCAAAACATGTTGGCCTTTGCCAGAAACTTTTACAGGAACTAACTCTTTTGCTATCATTGTGAAATTTCTTGACTTTTTTCATTAGAAATAATTTTGGAAACAGAATTTTTCTATCTTCTCTCTACCTATATTTCAACTTTTAAAGAATTTGATGGTATTTTATGTCTCTATAGATGTTCAGGTTTATCAGCTGTTCCTCAGAAACCCTATACAGGGTCACTATGGGTCGGAACCAGCTCAATGGCACTTAACAACAACAATAACACAGATGTTAGAGGAGTCCTAGTGTGGATCTGTGTGTTAATGCACTAGACTGCAAAGTCAGTTTGAACCATAAAGTCAGTAGTTCAAGCTCACCAGCTGCTCCTTGGAAACCCTATCCAGGGTCACTATGGGTTGGAACTGACTCGATGGCACTTAACCACCACCATAGATGTTAGAAGGACCCTTGGCAGTGTAGTGGATTTCAAGCTCTGCTGCTCACCTCAAACAGGGTCACTATGAGTTAGAACAGACATAATCACCACCACCATAGATGTCAGAGAAATGTCACATAAAGATGAAACTTTCTACTCCTGTAAATATTTACAGTCTTGGAAACTCGTACAGAATCACTATGAATCAGAATCGGCTTGATGTCACTGAGTTTGATAGTTTTATAGCTATTAGTGTTTAGTTTTCTTCTTCTCATTTAGACCCAGTTCATAATTAAGATCACCTTTCAAATGAGACAGTCCTCCATGGGTCTGTAAATTCAGATAATGACCTTATGAATCTGGTTTGGCTGAGCATTATATTAAGACCCATATGACAATTATATTGGACCCTGTAATTGGATTGTTCCTTTTGAGGAGAAAGACTTCCTAGAGAATGGACCCATTTTGCATCAGAACAGACTAAACATTAGGCATGTTTGATTTGGAAAATTCTGTGAGCCAACCCTGTTGTTATTGTTAAGTACTGTTACCTCTATTCCGACTGATATCGAGACCATGTGTAGGGTTTCCAAGAAACAACTGAAGAACTTGAACTGTCGACACCTTGTGGTTCAAATGACTTTGTGGTCCAGGACTTATTCTACAGTGCCACTAATGCACAATGAGTCCAGAGAAGCAGTAGATGCAATGAGACTAGAGTCTAGACCTGTGGTTCTCACCACAAGAGTGCATCAGAGTCACCTTACAAGCTTGTTAAGAACACTGGTTCAGAATTTCTGAAGGAGGAGTCAGGACAGTTCTGCTTGAAACCAATTTCCCAAGTTACGATAATTCACACAAAAAGTCAAGAGCCCCATTCCAAGGGACTATGAACTTTTGCCTCTAAAAAGTCTCTTCTTTTTTGTAAAGTAAGCCAAAATCTGTGACTAGCAAAAACTGATATATATTTGTGTGTATTCCTTTTTATTTCTTATTTTATCATTAGTAATTTTCTTCAAAAGAAGAAAAAAATATTTTGACTGTAGGTTTTTATTTAATAACTAAGAGTTGCTGAAAAGCTACTTTTTATTCCTGGTCTGGTGCTTTGGGATAATCACTGGACAGCTAAACACACAGTGGGCAGTTTAAGCCCATCAGCTGCTCCTCAGAAACCCTATACAATGTTTCTGTGATTGGAACCTACTCTATAACACTTACCACCACCAACAAACTTGGCAGAAAAAATGCTTTCAAATGATTTTTAAAGCACAGAAATGAAAACAGATAGAGGAAATAGAATAGAAAATACAGAGAAAATGAATTTCTTATAAGCCATAAATATATCAGCAGACATTTCTATGGAGTTACTCACCATTGTGACATGGTTCATATGTCTCAGATAAATACTAAAATGAAGCAAAATCAACCAAATACAAAGGGTTTGAGGAAACTTTTCATTTGTATTTATTTTCCTTTCAAGTTGCTAATTAAGATATCAACTGCTGCAGTATAAAGTTTTTAGTCATTGATTCTAAGGTTTTGGTTATAGAATAGCATAACCCAAAAGTAGAATATATGTAAAAAGTATCTAGGCTTTTCCCCCACCTTGTTTATTGTGTCACTCATAACAACTCTTAAGAGACTCATGTCCAGCATCGCAAAATTAGTCTTAAATGAACAAATTAATTTAACTTAGATTCTCATTACACCTCAGACATCTCTAAGAAACTTTAAGAAAGAATTTTCAGTCATTCGTTCATTCAATTTATAATATTGATTCTGCTCCTGTTGTTAAGTGCCATCAAGGTGGTTCTGATTCATAGCAACCCTGTACATGAATGGCTGGTAGGTTTGAACTACCAGCCTTTCAGTTAGCCTTTCAATAAGTCCAGTGCTTATCCTACATCATCACACTAGGTCTCCTTATCTCCTAAGACACAGTAATTTTATCTATAGTAAATATCTAGTATTTTATCTAGTATTAATTTTATCTATATTACTATATTACTATAGCTATTGAATTATTCTAACATGATCTATTTCTAATCACCTCAATACAGTATTCTCCTTAAGTTCTGTGTTTTACAAAATAATTCTGAGCCAAAAGCAAAATATGGAACACATGAAATTTTATAAAAGAAGAAAAGTAATGCAGAAAGGTTAAAGAAAATGCAATGTCCATCACCCTTTTTTTGTGTGTTTCATTAAATAATATCTGTCAAAAAATATAGAACAGCTTTTAGCTAAAGAAAGCAAACTAGTCATCGTCTCGTCTTATTAATTATTACATAATTGGCTAGTAGAAGTGCTGCCCATGATAGATATTGGTAACTCAATCCTTAGAAACGTGTTCTTACCTCTTCATGCTCCGTAGAACTTTCTGCACCATTCATTCTAGTTGTGTCCTGTAAAAAATGTGCCAGGGAAATTGTTTTTTCAGGAGCCTTGGAAAACTGAAAGAAAAAAGAGGGGGGAAATGTCTCTTATGGTGTCCTTTACAGTGAGACCAAATATACAAATTTAAAAAATGAATTCATGATAGAAAACTGCATAATTTTTCATTAAAAATGAACAGAAGTGACTATGTGAACTGCATAGAATACGATTATAAGCATAGCAACTGTGATTTTAATTTTCTTCTCTTCTAAAAAGGGATTTCCCAGGATGTCTCAAGTAGGCAGGCTGTGACTCAGACCTGAGGCTGATTAGCCTTTCTATGGTATGTAAATTGTCATTCTTTCTTTACTGGAAGTTTCTCCCACTGGATGAAGACTTTGCTTCAGAAAACCTGGGTAAAGTAAATCTTTCCTCAGTAGCCTAATTTCCATAACTTCATTGTGTTTTCCAGAGCACTTAGGTAGCTGTTGATTTTATGACAGTTCAGAAAGGTATGCCTTCTTAAAGGCAAGATTTTCTGGCAATGCTTTCTAAATGTGAAATTAGCTGTGTCATATGCAATGAGTCATAGATAATTCTTTAAGTGCTACTAATTCTTATGGAAATAAAAGAAAACATTAATTCATTACAGAGAGAAAGGGGCATTGTTTGCAACACTTAATTGTCAGTATTGGCAGATAGGGGTTTTTCAACTGTAAAAATGAGAGATCAAGTCTAAATTTTCTCCATGTCTCCTCTGAAGTTAAGGCTCTATCTCTATTAACAGCTTGAATTAGTTGATGTCTGTCATGTAACAGGACCTTGCGAGAGTGAAGCCCTAGTATTATCATTAGTTGCTGTCTAATAGGGCCCCAACTAATGGCAACCACATGCATAATGGGATTAGACTTTTGTGGTCCATGGGTATTTTATTAGCTGATTTCCAGAAGTAGATCACCAGGACTTTCTTCTTAGTCTGCCTTAGACCAGAAGCTCCACTGAAACTTGTTACGTATCATAGCAACACACATGTTTTCACTGAGACAGGTTGGTGGTCAGACTTGAGGTACATTGACTGGGAATTGAACCTGGCTCTACCACTTGGAAGGGGAGAAACAGACTACTGGACCAAATGACAGCGTTTTGAGCTACACAAATAGACCTAGATGAAACAGAAGACCATATTATGTACTTTGAGGTCAGGGTGTAAAGGAGGCAGGGGCATAAAATGAAGAATGGGATGCTGAAAATGAATACAAAAAATTTATCATCACTTAATTTACATTTTTCTTTAGAATCCTTTATGATAT